AGTTCCTTAACAGCAACCCAAAGCCAAAAAAGGCCGGAGTCAAGGAGCATACCATATCTCCTTGATGAGCCCACTACAACCCCATTGCAACCCGTTATATTTAGGTTACCTAACCCATGAGCAACCTCGTATTCCCACAAAGTAAACGCCAAACCCTGAACCCTAAACCCTGCTGCTGTGACTGCGCGTCTCTGCCTTGCAGTCTTTTGCCTGAAGGTGATGTTCAGGGGCGCTTTTTTTTAGGCATTAAGGCTATAGGGTTTAGGGTTAGGATTTTAAGGTTTTAACGCTTAGGCGTTTAGAGCTTCACGGATTCGGGTTTTAGGGTCAAGGGGGTTATGGGCTTCGGCCTGAGGGGAAAGACCTGACAAAAACAAGGAAAAAGAGAGGACTCCCTAAGATTTCCCTAAGGTCTCCTAGTCCTAGGGCTCCTTAATATAGTCTCCCCCAAAATGAGGCCCCCGTATATGGAGTCTCCTTATCCACGGGCTTCAGGCTTGTCGGGCAAGGGTTGCGCACCCAGGGTTTGAGGATGCTTTTGAGGGACCCTAGTGGACTACATCGGCTCATATGAGCCATATTCTCAACTCCTTAAAGGAGGTTATATTTGGGATGATATAGGAGATTACCATAGGGCTCACTAAGGGGGATACTAGGAGTTTAGCCTATAGCTGATAAAACGATTGTAGTAGGGTCTTTTTGGGGAAGTCTTTTAGGGCTGAGCCCTAGGGGTGCACCCCCGGAAACCTTGACTTATAGTTTTCTAAGCTCTAAACTCCAAATCCTTATATCCTAAACCCTAAACTCTAAACCTTACATGATAAACCCTAAATCCTAAATCCTAAACCCTAAATCCTAAATTTTTAACCCTAAATCCTAAACCCTAAGCCCTTTCCTTTTTCCTGTTTTGAACCTGGAGATCTTCGCAGGAGGCGGCCGGACTGAAACGCTGGGATACGGGGCAGTCGACTGGCTGCTTCCTCCGCAAGAAGGGTTTAGGGTTTAATGTTTAGGTTTCAGGGTGTAGGGATTATGTGATATTGTTATTTCGGGTTTAGAAGGCACTGTTATTTGGGGTGTAGAGGGTCTGGGGTTTGTTTGGTTAGGTTTTAGGTTTAGGCTTCGGTATTAGGATTCAGAGCTTAGGTTTTAGGGTTAATTAGGTCGTCGGGCTTAGGGTTAAGAGTCTAAGGACCAGTGCCGGGGGTTCGGGAACTTTTAGAGTTTAGGGATCCTGGGTGTTGGGGGGTTCTGAAGCGTGTTAGGGTTTAACGTTTAGGGTTTAGGGTTGAGAGTTTAGGGTTGAGGGTGATCTAGGGTGTAGGCTTTAGGGTCGAGAGTTTGGGGTTTAGGGTTGAGAGTTTTGGGTTTAGGGTTGAGAGCTTGGGGTTTTAGGGTTTAGGGTTTACGTTTGAGAGTTTAGGTTTAGGGTGCAGGCTTGAGAGTTTAGGGTTTTGGTTTGAGGGTGATCCAGGGTTTAGGGCCTAGGGTTGGGAGTTGAGGGTTTAGGGTTTAGGGTTGGGAGTTTGAGGTTTAGGGTTGAGGGTGATGTAGGGTTTAGGGCTTAGGGTTGAGAGGTAAGGGTTTAGCGGTGAGGGGGATTTTGGGTTTAGGGTTTTGGGGTTGGGGTTTTGATGCATTTGCTCTCAGCTCAAACCTTGCACCCTAAGCCTTGAACCCGTCCCTGAGTCCTGATGGCGAAGCCCTACTTACGTGGATGTTCATAGGACTGTGTGACCACGTATAACTCTGGTTTAAAACCTTTCTCACAACCCCCTAAAACCCATATCCTTATCCTAAACCCTCTATATCCTCATATGAGCTGTAGTCTAACTTCCTAGTATCCCTTTCATATCCCCTCTGATATTCCCCCACATAATCCCCTATATAACCCCCTTTAAAAGGAGTTTAGACTACAGTTCGTATATCTCTCACAGGCGCGCCTCTAGCCTCCGAGCTCTTCGAGGGCCTTGGTCCGACTAGGGAGGACGCTCCTCCGGAACCGACACAGTTTAGGCTTTAGGCTTTAGGGTTTGGGGTTAAGGTTTAGGCTTTAGAGTTCACCACTTAGGGTTTAGATAGTAGGACATAGCTTAGGGATCTCTACTTAGGATTTAGGGCTTTCTACATTTCGCTGGTGGTTTATCACATCTGTTTGCAAATCTCCTCCCCCCCACCCCCCCTCCTGTCCAAGGGAAGGGAAGTGTGTAGGGTTTGCTGGAGGTGTGACAGGTTTGTCAATGGGGTCCAAGGGATGTATCTTACTGGTTCTTGGTAGGGAATATGGGAATATAATCCCCCTATAATATATCCCCTCATTCCTTACTGGGAACCAGCAAGAGATTGGGGATCATAAGGAGGAACGCTTTTTTGGGGAGTCTGTGTAGTGAATTGAGAGTATATATGTGGTTCTTCGATATTGGGGCCAAATGGCATTTTTCAGGCTTGGGACTTAATAGGTTTCAGGATTGCATCTATGAACTTCTGAACCTTGAGTTCTCTATGGGCGCATAGCTTTGAGGGGTACAAGTAGGGGTTATACACAAGGGGGCCAACCTAATTCAGCAGATGTGCAGCCCCATATACAGCCTACTTACTAAGTCCCGCAACCATTCCAAGAACCCTACACCCTAGCCTCTAAGCCCTAAATCTTGAACAAGTACCCCCAATGAGGAGGCAGTGGGCTAAGCGGGATGATAAGGTGTTGACAGCTCTTACAAATCGACTTTTACCGCCCGTTCGCCCATGTGTTGCTCGGGTTGCGCTTGAGCAGAGCAGCACGTGCAGCCCAAATATGTCAGCACCATCACGGAACTTAGGGTTTATGGCCTAGGAATCATGCAAGGATGCTGCAGACTCCGAAGCTCAATCGCCAAACTGAAGCCTTCCAAATCCCTCTACAACCTCCGAAGTCCTCAAACTCTAAGCCCGAAGTCCCATACTATGAGAGTCCTTTGAGTCAGAAAAGATGCATCTTGGTAGGCCCATGAGAACCCTATTGTCATACTTGACAAGTACGTTCCCAAACCTCTTCGTAACCCCAACATCCTACAAAGTAGACCCTAACTTCCGAAGCTCTGAAACTTGCACAGCCCGGTAAGCCTCTTTCAAGGAACCTATAGATACCCCTGGTCAAACCCAGATTCCCAGAATCTATTTGCTTTGTTAAACTGAAGGAGCTGCATGAGCAGGGCGCAGCACCCATCGGTGTGATCCTTAAGAGCAAGATGCCGACCATCCTTTGCTTGGGGATTAGTTAGTGTTTATTTTAAACAGAAGAGACCTTCAGTTTAAGGATTTCATACGAAGCATACTTCTTTCCCAGGAGGCGGTGGAAGTTGCAAGAACATCTTTCCGAAACACGAGTCAGGATCCTTGTTCACCCACCGGGCGGCCGAACGTCCTTGCTGTAAAGATGCAGGCAAGACAATCAAGCCAGGAACAAAAGAGCCAGAATCGTGGTCCTTCCGTCCAGGCTTGGCTCAAGCGCCCTGGAGCTCTCTGGTTGCTCTCAAGAGGCGAGGTTCTTGCTCGCTGTACTTCAACCTGTTTAGCAGCACCTAATTTGTTTGTGAGTTGGGTTGAATCTTATCGGATCAGCCGCCAGGCGTATTTGGGAGGTTTGCGCACCCGTGGTGGCCCCTCAGCTGGAGTTCGTACAACGAGTTCCACTCTTAAGCAAGACCCGTAATTTAATTTTCCGGTATGGTCGCTAGACCATGGCGGCTGTCACGCCATGGTTCGATGGTGCCTGCTGGCTCTGCATGGGGGCCGTGCATGGAGGCCATGGGTGTAGCATGCGTGATTGCGAGATCACGCCACCGCTCAAAAAACTGGCAGGTGCGGCACCAGCTAGGCTTGGGTAAGCCCGTCGCGCAGCAGGAGGAGTGGAAGCTACTCCAACGCCAGCAGACACGAAATCTTAGAGTAATGTTTTGGTCTGCGGAGCCAGGCGGTCCTCTTCCTCTGAGGGCGACAAGCCGGAAGTGCCGGGGCTTGGCATTCCTGAGCATTTTGGAACTCCTCGTGAAGACTTACCAGCAGCTGGTGAGTGGTGCGGAGTTTTACGAGGCTATAGTCGGGGTTTAGGTATGTGGGCTTTAAGGTTTACAGTTGAAATTAGAAGCCGCTGAAGGCTTACCTCACCGGAGCAGACGGCGATTGGGAAAGTTACGTTGCCACCGTGCTTGTGGATGGCACCTGGGGTGATCACATCACCGCTCAGGCCTTGTGCGACCACCTGCAGGTCGGAATCCGCGTTTTCTCCACTTACCCAGATCCAGAACAGGGAGACTTCTGCTTAGACCAGCAACTGGTTGTCCCATGGAACAACGAGACGCCAGAGAAGGTGCTTTGGAGCTGCCGTAGGCACAACAGACCGTGCCTGCTTTAGCCACGTGCTGACCATAGACAAGCACCTGCACGCGAAATCAACACCCTCGTGGGATGCCACTCGCTGCTTAGAACACAGAAGCCATCCAGTTTGAAAAGCTTGGCGTGGACATTGTGAAGGCCAGTGATTGCCCACAGCACAGCATTAATTCACCACGTTAACGCATGATGCCTATTAGGGCTTAGGCCTAGACACGCTCCGCTCGAACAAGAATCACACACTAAGTAGGGTCCCATGAGGATAGATTTACAACATAGGGTCCTAAAGCTTGAGGTCTTTTAGGTTTGAGACTTGATCATCAGTATTCTTGGCGAGATATTTCCGTCCGGGAGTAAGATTATATCCTCCTGTGGTATCGGATTTCTTGAGAAGCATACGCACTACTTTGGCTCAACCGCCAAAAACCACTATGAGGATGATCCAAGTTTTGGGAATCAGGGTCTAGGCATTAAACAGGGATTAGGGTTTCGAGCTTGTAGGGTTTAGGGTTCAGGGTTTAGGGGTTCTATCCAAGTTTGACGCGGGTTGCGTAAACCTTTCAACCCGGGCTGTGGGCAAGTTTGTGTTGGATGATGGATGGCTTTGGTCCCTTACCCAGAGCCCTAAGCGATAAAACCTAAACCCTATAGACCTTGGGAATGCTGGTTCAGTTGTCCAAGTTGGGGAGTGGCTTCTATCTTTACAAGATATGAGTGTGGAGCTGAAGGTTCAGGGTTGGGGGTCTAGGGCTTTGGACTTAGGGTGGGGCCACCTTGTTTTATTTGAGTAGCTGCGCCGCAATCCTCGCCTTAAAGTCGTAAGGCCACTGTTTGGGACATCCAAGATGGCCTGATCTTTGCGTCGCATGTCACAAGTGCGCATTCACAGTTGCAGGGATCGGCCGGGTCGTGGACGTCGTCTTCGTGACTGTTGGGCAAAAAAAAACCAGCGTGTGTGTAGTCGTGTGGACGCGTGTTTTTTGGTGCGAATTCGTGAGGCTCCTAACGCATAGGGGCCCCGCGAGCGTAGAGTTTTGAAAGGGATCCAATAGATAGTGCATAGAGGCCCCGTGAACACACAGTGAACAAAACATCGCGGCTTGTATGGAACCCGTATTCTTTTTTGCTGTGCATTCGCGGGGCGCCTAACGCATAGAGGCCCTGCAGAGACGCGCGTGTGCAGTAACCAAGGTGCGTCCAGCGTGGAGCCCGAGTGTCTTTTTGCTGTTCGTTCGCGAGGCTGCGCAGTTAGCGCATAGAGACCTCGCGAACGCATGGCGCGAAAAAAACCGGCCGTCGGCCTGTGTGGAACCCGTGTATTTTTGGCCTGCATTCGCGAAACGTGTCCTGCCCTGAAAACGCGCGATAAGGTAAAGACATTGAAATTGAAGTACCCAGCGAATGCATAGCAACAAGGAGCGCGCAAACACACACACACACAACGAAGAAAAACACACATACACACAAACACATTTCAACCGGATGCGTATTCCCAAGCCAGTTCCTTTTCCCATGTTTGTTGTTGCATGGCATTCGTGCCCGGCGCCCGGGGTCCGCTGCTCAGAAGAACCTCTCACTTCCTTAAGAACTGGACATTATGCTGCCCGTGAATCCCTAGGCTCCTCCAAATTTACCCTCAGGTCTAGGGTTCAGGGGTTAGGGAAGGGGGTTTAAGGCTTAGGGCCATGGCCACCCAACATATCTGAGGTTTTTTGCGGTTTTTTCTTTGCCGTCGATTTTCAGAGACCCTACCCTAAGAACCTGCAACCCTTGACCCCAAACCGCAAAACCCTAGACCCAACAAACCCCATTATTCTGACAAGCCGTTTGATCCCTAAACCGTACGTATATCCTAAAACATTAAACCCTAAACCCTGAACCTGGAGCGCTACTGCCGAGGCCCGGCTTTGCTTGGAGGGCTGCTCAAGGATGTGGGTCCTATCCTAAGCGCTCGTCACTGTGAATTCAGTTAGACGTCCCTTTAAAGGGCACCGTAGAGCTTTAACCCCAAACGACATTGAAGGTTTGGTGTTTGAGGTTGATATTTCTGATTTGTGTAAGGTGTTTAGGGTTTGGGATGTATTCGAGACGTGCGCGTGAGGGCTCGTACCTTTCAAGCTATCACAGGATCCCACCAGAAAGTACGCTTGCAGTGATACGTCGTCTTGTTGTGGGATCCACAAGTAGGTTGAAGGTACCAATCAAAACAGCTCGGTGTGGGGGGGTTCCAGAAAAAAGGACCCCAATGTAGACCCCAATATGCTATCATCATCATCATCATCATTTTGGCGGCTCCCAAAAGGAGATATGGGAAAGCTGGAGGCCTTTTTCCTAAAGTTTCAAGCCCCTACTTTCTGTGAAAGTGCAGGATTTCTCCCTCGCACGCAGTGCCCATGCATTCCCTTGTTACTGTTGTTACACACATTTTTTGTTGGTACAATGGGTGAAAATACGCCTAACACCTAACGTCATATTTCTTGGGGCCATATAGTGAGCAGCGTAACATAGACATCACCTCTGCATAATTTGTCTGCGGGGATTCTTCCATACTCCTCTTTACACCTGTGTAATCCCTTCCCCTTATATTAAGAATCCGTCCCACCCCCCTAACATCCAACATTGCCCAATTTGTTTTATTGTACAACAATGGAATACTCAATATTTTTTTGGGGTGGCGACGCTCAACTTTATATAGGGGGAGTGGAGAAGGGATTGCTGCCAAACCTTCACTGCTAAGCGTGCTTAGGCGATGCGAAGGAGAAGGACGCCCAGGAGCAGCCGAAGAGCAAAGAAGCGGTAGATGCGGAAATGGACATGTTTGGGTAGGAGTCAAAGCTCGCCCGTCGAGGGACACTAAAGCCCCAATCCACGAATCCGCACTCCCTAAAGCCTAACCAACGTAGGCACCTGAACCCTAAGATCCAGAAAGCTTAAGCCTTGAGCCGAGCCACCAATTCATCACTGGATGCCGGATGCCCCCGTCATCCCTGGTTTAGGAATTCAAGGTAGCCAAGGGTCAGCTGAATTTCAAGTTTGGGGCTGACTGAGTTGTTTTACTGGAACTTTAGGTTTAGGGCTTAGGGTATTTGTGTAGAAGTTCTTATTCGCCTCCTGACCTGAGGATTTAGGAGCACCATAAACCCTAAAACCTAAACGCTGAAACCTAAACCCTAAACCCTAGACTAGGGATAGCCCGGGTTGTCCAGGTCTTTAGCTGAAGCAATTACCCTAGTTGGAGGGTCATGGGGACATAGCAAGTAGCTTAGCGCGGTTCAAGGGTTTAGGGTTGGGGATATCTTGGGTTAATCTATGGTTTATAGGCATTGTAAGTATACTTCCTAAGCCCTCCTGACCTGGACCCTGAATCCTAAACCCCAAGCCCTGAACCCTAAACCACACCCTAAACCCTAAGTGAGATTGTGGTTTCCATGTTCTTCTCCATTACTTCCTGCGTCTCCCTGACCCTCCAAAGGGGGTAACACAGCTGGGGTTCGTAGTTGTTTTTGTCTCCTTGAAGGTTTTAAAGGTTTAGGGTTTAGGGGTTGCGAGGCAGCGCTGCATGTTGTTCTTGTTGTGGCTACCCACACCGGAAGAAATGAACCTGTACTCTGATATCCCTTAAGGGTCCAAGGACCCAAATAATCAGGGTTTTAGGGCCCAAATACCGTTAATATTGTAGTATTTGGGCCCTAAAACCCTATTATTTGGGTCTTTGGACCCTTAAGGATCCCAATGGCCCAACCTTGAACGGCATCCGGACGTGTTAGCAGGCACATTGTCGCCGCTAGAGTGGTCTGCTCGAAGACTAAAGGTGCAGAGTCCAGTGCCCCCCGGATGCTTCCATGAGGACCCAGGGTTTAGGGTTTAGGGTTTGGGGTTTAGGGTCAAATTTGGTAAACGCTCTTATAGAGCTGTACCACAGGGCGAGACGGATAGAGGGACTGGGTGGGAGGGCTTGACTGCTATGGCCAGGCACATAAACATGAACTGTAGACTAATCTCCGCAAAGTCGGGCTATATAGGGGCAATCCCTCAGCCTCCGAAGCAGAGTTAGATTTCACGTTTTTGCCCCTTGAACTCCCCTCTGGCTCCAAAGTAGGAAAGCGGTTTAGGGTTTAGGGTATGCATACAGATTTATTAGTAACCCCAACATGTATGCAGCGTATGTAAAACCTTGTAAACTTAGAGCTCCAGGGCTCCTACCCCCTGAAGCCTGGACCCTCGGCTGCGGATTATCTCTCCCAGGTTTATTAGTGTTTAGGGTTTAGGCTCTAGGTTTAGGGTTTAGGGCACCCACATGGTGCGGCCACCGCGAACGCTGCAGAGTGTGCCGGGTAGATTCCCAGGGGTCTCAGATAGGACAGACTCTGCAAGAAATCCCTAGGTACCCATACCCAAAGGCTCCAAATTGCCCAATGCAGGTAAGATTTATAGATTTTTGGGCCCTATGTAGGTATTGTTTCTCAGAGGGCCTGTCCTACTTGGGGCGTCCACCACTAGGAATCTGCCCCAGTGTGCGTCGCATGGCTGCGTGAAAAAGATGCCATGAAATGATAGTGTAGTCAGGTAGGGTGCTTGAATAAGTTGGACTTGGATTTGGGGGAACCCGTTTGGTTTAGGGCTCCATATGGTTTCTAATTCGGCTCAAAAAGGTCTTCCTGTCCATAGTCTTCGTGTTCGTATCTTTCACAGGCTTCATAAAGGTCCCTAAACCCTAAACCCTAAACCCGAAGGTCCTGCAACATTTTGGGGTTCCTAAGATAGGAGTCCATGTCAGACGGGTCACAGCCTTTCGGGCGCAGATGTTGTGGCTCTCCAGGCGATGCATACAGTTTAATTTGTTTAGGGTTTAGGGTTTAGGGGTTTAGGGTTTAGGGTTGCAAGAAGGAGAGGCCATGCTTTCAGCTTCAGCCGTCTGTCATGCCCCCATGGCCACTAGATCTTCACTTCATGCATCCACTCCCTACCTAGACAAGC